TGACTACGAATGGAGTTCCCGACACGTAGGATAGGCCTTCGTAGTCGTGGCCCCCGCTTCGTGTCCTAATCTGCAAGTCGTTGGCTCGGGCGCATCGGATGATGGCCGGGACTTGGGACTCGTGTGCGGGAGTTATGATCACTTGGGGTTTCGGGGTTGATTGGGAAGTGAATCTAAGGTTTTGGATGGAAAATCGGAGAATGGACGCGTAAGATGAGTTGTTTGGGGTGTAAGTCACGTTTGAGATTGAGTTGTCGCGGTATTTTTGGGTGAGACATTCGAGAAAACTGTCGTGATCGGCAATGGTGGTTAACGAGCACGAGAAGATGGAAACAATGGTGAAGATTAATCTTAGAGTTGCAAGATTTGGGCTCTTCATGGAGTGTAGTGAGGATTTATGAGTTGGTTTTTGTGTTTAAGGAAGTTTGAGTTGGAAAATTGTATGTATGGATTTATGATTTGGTTTTTGTGTTTAAGGAAGTTTGAGTTAGGACCTATTTATAATGTTTTTGAGTTAGGGAAATCTATGGAGAAAAGGTCTAGGAAGGTTGTCGCGTATGATGACATCTTTGCTATTTTATTCATCCATGGTCGAACCATATTTGTTGAAGCATGCATATTTGGACTAAAATTATCTCCAAAAGATAAATTTCATTTAAAAATATATTTTGACTTTGACAAAATTGACTTCTAGGACAAAATTGACAAAATATATTTTTTTAACATGTTAGAGCTCAAATTTTAAAAATTAGTCGGTATTTTGTACAATTACATGGTAAAAGGTTATACCATTTATGCAAAAAAATTTCTTTCCATACAAAGAAAATGAAAACCATAACAAATTAATTTACTCAGTGGTAATTATTATTAAATTTTTGAGATATTCTACGGTTCCGTTACGGAACTATTCCGTCGGGATTTGTAACTGTTAGATCAACTATCCACGACGGTTACATGATGATCTAACGGTTACAAATCCCGACGAAATTGTTCCGTATCGAAACTGCAGCATTTTTCTAAATTATATTATTGTTGTTGCTATAGGGGGAAGGTTCTTTATTATACAAAGTGGACAAGTTAATATACAAAACTACTGACATTTTCAAATTAGGTTGCATATATTTGACATTTTGCTATTGACTAATAGCATTTTCACGTACCCGTCAACTAAAGAAAACTTGAAAATGGGCAAGTGATTTATTAGTTTTACCATAGATATGTTCCCGAGTTTTGAATGAGTGATTAATAATCACAGAAATTTGAATAAAAAGTAACAAATTAAATGACTTCTTGATCTAATAGTTATCATATACTCACCACCAAATAAATTTTAGTTCGATATATGATTTCTCGTGTTTAAATAATAGAAAAATACAAATATACAAAAATACTTTCCCGCCAAAAACTGATACTGACAAGCACTAATTATTTTCTTTATACTAATTACATAATCTGGACACTAATCAGATCATAATAATTTTAATTGGCGAAAATCAGGATAATCTGGTTTTCAAGGAATGTTAACCAAACATCTTAAAAATTTTAATCATCAGAATAATTTAATTAGCTTTAGGTATAACCAAACATATTAAAATTTAATAAGTAATAATAATAATAATAATAATAATAATAATAATAATAATAATAATAAGATAATTAATAGTTAGGATTTCTCAAATTTATAAAAGCTACATTATCTATTTTATTTTATGCAACAATATAGAGATGAAGTTGAATACATTTATAATGTTCATTTTTAATAATGAAAAAATTTAAAATGTGATACTATTATTTAACTTATAAGTTAAATATTATATATATATGTATAATTTATGATAATTTCAACATTTGTGCATGTGCATAGGATCGAATGCTAGTACTATTTAATTATTAATCAATTTAGATATTTGTGTATGTAATTTATCATAGCAAGACAGTGCGAGATAGGATTTAGAAAAGGTGGACATGTTTTTCCAAATAGAATAGTTTGAGGAAGATTTCTAAGGATTTTTAAGATGCTATTATTTTTTATATTTGAATTGAAATTTTTAATATTTTTAAAAGTATTGAGTTATTGAATTGGGATATTAAAAATTACTATAAAATAATGAGATATTTAACTTATTTAATATTGAGATTTGTTATGACTTTTTAAAATTTGCTAAAATTGCAAACACAAATTATATATGTTAAATTCACTACCAAATTCACTTCTAGACTAAAATCAACAAATTCTAAAAAGTCCTGAATATAAGAATTTTAAAATGTCACTCAAAATTTCAAATGAATATAATACTTTTCAAATTAAGAAAAAAATCCGAAAAAGTTTATCTTTCATAATATTGATTTTATTAAGCGTGTTTTTTATGATATGTGAATTTACATATTTACTATTATATTACTTAAATAATTATAATTACCAATAAGTTATTTTTACTAATTTGTTTTTGCTAGACAAGTCTGTTTCTTTCAAATCCTCAACCTCTAAGTATGTTTAGAAGAAATATATTCATTAATATGTATTTAATTTTTTATACTTACATTTATTTCTTACAATATGAAAAAGAAAACATTTTTTTTCAGATTTTATTCAAAGAATTTTGTTATCATAATCAATTTACATATTTTCTTAGTACGTAATGAATAATGTGATTTTATCAATTTTATGGTATTAAACAAAATTAGAGAGTATTATATTTGCTGACATGATATAACTAAAAATTTCACATTTAAACTCAAATACAAATCTCTATAACACCAAACAATAGAATTAATTTTTATTACCACAATATGGTTACAACCATTATTACAACGAGAAAAACACAATCATCCAATATTAACTATTACACAATATATTCAAATACAACAACACATAAAATCGAAATTTACTTAAATGTATATAGCAAATGCCTCTGAACAGAGCAGAACAGAACTGAACAGAGCTCATCAGTCATCTACTTCTTCATATAGCGATGGTATACTCTGTTCACTCCTGAAGAAATTGTCTCGATCCACCGCGGTTTTCACCCGAACTAGTCGGTCGAAATTGTTCCCGAAATACTTCCTTCCCCAAACGCTCGCCCGAGCATAATCGATCCTCCCTTCATTGTTGTTAACTCCAATATCGACATCTCGACAGTTAACATACGCGGCCCGAGGCAAACTCGACACGTAAGGAGCCATGTAGCTATAGAGCCGCCTAATCCATCTTATGTATCTGTCTGAATTCCGAGCATTGCCCTCTTGCCAGTACGCATAATATTGGATTATGTACATATTTCCGGCCCGGTGAGGAAACGAGATATCCGACTCGGAAATATTATCCATCACGCCGCCAAATGGGACCATAATGACTAAGGCCTCCTCGCTTTCGGGCTCGTAGAATAATCTCCACATGCCCTCGAGACCTTGCTCGGGAATCGGTCTCTGCACGAAATCCGATTTTGCCTTGAAATACCTCACGAAAGGTTGCGTCCGGTTTAGCAAAACCTCGCGTGGTTCGTTTGGAGAGCCCGCGAAGTAAAGAACCGAATCGATCCAGCTCATCTCAGTGCAGTCTTCTCTCGTCAACCCTAGCTCTGAAAAATTTTGTTGCATAATCGAGAGCAACTCGTCGGCCCCACCGAGGAAAGTCGAGTTGAACGTGACACGGACCGAGTTTCCCCTCGTGATTAGTATCATGACGAATAAATTCGGGTCGATTGTGTGGGCTACGCTCTGCCATCGATGCACGAGCAAAGTAGCGTTTTGTTCCATAGTACGGGTGACCGAG